AGGCCTCGAAGCGGGTTGGTGGAGAACTTTCGCTCGACGGAACGAGAGATCGGCGCGAGCAGACTGGCGACCACTCTTCCCGGTTGCGTGAAAAGTTCGAGAAGGTGTTTGGCCGAGACCCGGCCGAAGGGGATCGATGGAAAATCGCCCATCTCGACGAAACGGAGCAAGGAGAGGTCGAATTGCGTGAAGAAGACGGGGAGCCATGTCAGGGCTTACAGCGATGCCAATAGCGGCCGATCCAACTCACCCGTGACTACGTCCTCGATTTTTGGATTCTGCACGGGGAAGAGGAAAGTTCAATCGACCAACAGTGCTGGCAAGGTTGAAAGTGTCTCTGTATGCCCAACGTGGAACGTGAAAACGGTTAGCATGGCAAAGTTATGGTGGAAAAATACGTTAATTCTCATGATTTTCAGTGAATAATCCCTATTCGTGATCGCATTGGTGGAATTTCTTGATGGTATCTGCGATATTTCTCCATGTTTCTATTTCTTTCTCGAAGAAATTTTTTCAATCTTCTTTATATCTTTATATCGTTGGAATTTTTTGACTCGAGATTCTTTAATAGGATATATCTAAATATAAATGTTGTTCAAATTCGTTCACTTCTTCTTCCGATTAATCATTTCAAAGATAATAATAATTGCAAAATAGTTTAAGGTTTCTTGCAAGAAATAATCTCGAACCTATGAACCACAAGAATTCATACGTTTTGTACGAAGAATCCTATTAAAAAATGATCACATCTCTGCCAATCTCCCCTTTAATTTATTCCAATCCACACTATCGTTAATATTTTTAATTATTCTCTTCACCCTTTCTTTATTCCATTTCTTTTTCCAGGGTGAATTGGTGTGGTTCGACCCAGGTGTCGGCCACGTGTTGCCGGGAGAGGTGTTGGAATACCACAGGGCCGCCAATGTTCTCTCGGTGCAGGCAGTGATCGCCGGCAAGGTATGAGAAATCAATTTACCATTCCCCCTCCCCGATAGTAGTAAAGGCAAGCAACGTTGAATGGAGAGACGTCAGAAGAGTAATGACGAGTGTGAAAATGTGGGACACATCGATCGCGCATATTATTCTCGATTCAAAACGCCGGATAAGTTATGCAAGATCTGTGACACAACCTCGATTATGATGCACGAAGAATCGTTTCTTCTATCAACGCTCAAAGATGAATTTTCTCTCTTTCTCTCTCTCTCTTTCTCTCTTTCGTCCAAGCGAATAGAAATCGGATTATTTACCGTTTGGCTGGCAGACGACGTTAACCAATGAAACCACGTTCCACGTTTCTTTATCTCTCGAAGGGACGGAGGAACTGGATGGACGCGTGTTAGAGAGTAGTCAACAATACTAGTTGGCCACTTCGAGGCCAAGGAGCAACCGGTTTATTCTGCATTTCCTTAAAGTGAGCCTCGCTTCGGGCGAGGTTCTTACTATGTTTCCATTGACTTTTTGCTCGGCTAATTTGACGCGGGAACAATGGAGAACCGGAGGACTGTATTACCATTGTAGCTCGTCACGTGGGTGGTTGGAAAATATAATTTTTAATTTTCATGCAAATGATGACACCAGTTAGAACTGGTTGTAGCTCTGTATGTTGTTCGAGTATAGATGACGGAGATAAGACAGTTAAAAGTTTTACGATAATGGAAGATAAGATATCTGTCTTAATTTGGTTAATTACCATTTAATCTCCAATTATTGTTACGATCCAGTTTGAAATATTCAGCTGGCAGGAATGTTATGTTAGTTTAATTTAATGTAGGGCGTCCTCTTGAGCAAAGCATATAATTCATCCGAATATATTAACATCTTGTTAATATCTTGTTATAATTGCTACGTGGTATTAATAGCAGCAAAAGGATAATACTCGGTTTCTACGAGATTGATCTATCACGAGGTTGCTTGAAAATATTATATTAATTCAATTTAATTGCGTTTAATTAACAATGATTGCAAAATTTATCACGACTATGAGACTATTATTACGACGACGTGGCTTAAATGATGATTTAAAGATTTATTTTAATAATTACTATTCGAGATAGTTATTATTGATAACAGCAAAAGTAAGACTCGATTAATAAAAATATATTCAATTTCATTACTGATAGAATTTCTATTACAGCTTTCGAATATCCAAATTCCTCGTACCAATCTCAAGAATTTCTTAATCACAACTTGTCCCAATACACAACAACATCTCACGTCATCACAGGAAGAGAATCGAGAAACGAGATTTCCGTGACACGGGGCTAGCTAGGATGGTCGAATGGTGGCGCGGGTAGAAAGTCGAGACGGATGCCACGCATACCTCTCGTCGAATACCGCGAAATACTTCCGCGAAAGTGGACTGCGAGTATACTATGTTGGAAAATTATCGTCCACACCGATGTATCGATCCACGCGTGAAAGTGCATATCGAAAAGGGGCAGCGTACCGGCCGCTGTTTGCGACACCTTCTTGCACTTTCAAGCTCCAAGGACAAAGCCGTATTGGCACAACGCAATCTTTTTCCCCCGCGTTTTTTTTTTTTCGCCTTCCTCTCCTTCACTTTCGTCAATTCGTTTCGAAATCGGATCTTGGATCTATTCGGCCGAGATGAATGATCGATTCCCATTTTTCGGTTCGAATTCGCTCAAGTTAAAGAGAAACGTTTTACACGCGCCAAGAACAAATATCTTGGCTATATATTCTTGCAAACATTGTGAAAGTTGCAATAACAATTGATTAACTTTCGTGCAAATAATTCTGTGACAATATTTAATCGCGGGAAAATATTATCCATCTTATTTACGATTTTGCACGAAGAAAAGTGAAGAAGAATGTTAATCGAGGAAAAATTCTTCTAAATTTCAAAATTTAGAAAATATGATATGTAATAAATCGTGTTTAAATAATAATAGGTGTTTTGTATAGTTTGTATAAAGTAGGAAGATACCGTTTGAGGTAACGATAATAGTCGTAATAATAGTGGTAAATTGTTTCAAGATCTGGAAGAAACGAGGTTTAAATTCAATGCTCGAAGCGCTAATTGCACACCCCGAGAAATCATTACGTTTCCTTCTCGACGGAAAAAAATTTCCAACCATTGTCCGTACTTGGATATTGTTTCGATACGACATGGGAGAGAAATTCAGAGGCGTAGAGCGGTTTCGATAAATCGTTACGTTTACGTTCCCCTTCTTTTATGAAAAAAGAATCGGCGCAGATTATTCTTTCTTGCACGATTTTTAATTCATCGGTCGAACGACCGAGACTCCGCTTGTAGTATCGATTATTTTTCACCGCGTGGTCCGATTTCTCGATGCATTGTCGTGCATCAGAGTCCAGTTGTACGGTGTCCTATTATAGTTAACGATGCACACAGGCGTAGAACTGACTCGGTCTTATAATTGCCATCGTTCTACGATTAATTTTACACGACTTATAATTCTGTCGTCAGATATACTGCTATCGGTTAAAACGTCTCCTTTATACAATCTCGATCGATGCAAAAGAATTGATATCGAAAAATACACACATTTTTCCACATGTATAGAGATATTATCAAAATTTTCTTCGTTTCATTGGATTTTCCAAGTGAAAATCTTGCGACTCGATTTCGTGGAAAAACGATGAATAATATAACAAAGAGCCTTCTCTCTTGTTCCACTCCACATTCATTAAAAAATATAATTCCTATAAAACTTTCCAGATCCATCTACGAAACAACTTTCGCGCTACTTCTCCATCCTTTTATCAATTCGAATCGAATCGAATCCTCGAATTCGAGCATTTTTTGCCAAAAGATCGACTCGTTCATAACTTTTCCTTATTATAATCAGTTGAACTGGTTAAACTGGTTGATCGTGGCGCGTGTAAATTTCGCAAAGGAAATATATCGAGCACACGAAACGAAACGTTTTCGATTCATCGTTACGGCGCCATGAAGGATCGGCGAGTTGGTTAAAACTCCGGTAACGGTCTCTGTTTATTAATATCGCGAGGGGGCCAAGCCTCCGTGCGCGAACGTTCATACGTTTTCCGTGGATCGTGGTTTCCCCCCCGTGTAACGCGAAACGCGGCGACGCCAATGGAATCGCAACTGCAAACTCAGGCAACCCGGTATCCGGTTAAGTCTCACGTGAGTGGCTTTCGCGTCTTATGTGAATTCGCGCGAATCTTCCTTTTTTATCGTGCATTCTCTCTGCCGGAGATCGGGTCGCAACAGTCGAGAAAATCGGGCAAAAAAAGTGGACGGAAGAACGGAGCGAGAAACGCGTAAAAGGATGGATGGAAACGGCCAAGTTTGGAGAGCTTCTTAGCCTTGGATAAATAATTGTGACGAAGAGTGAAGTGGATACCGTATAAATATATATGATCGTGAAGTGGTGATGGACGAAGTAAAAGATCGTCTTTCTCTATAATAATCAAGAAATCAATCTTCCTTTCCGCTTCTTCCTTCTTTCTTAAAAGAAATAGGAATGGCTCGAGTGGGAAATCGTCATAGTTCCACTTGCAATCCTTCGAGTTGAATTGAAAATAATTCGACAACTATCGTCCTCCAAAAAATTTGCCTTCTCCAAAAATAGGTGGGGAATTATCATTCTAGAAATTATAAAAGAAAAATTGAAAAGAATTAATATTATCCTCATCCTCCATATCTCCTTCTGAGATGTCAATGGCCAAGCTAAAGGATCGTCGCTCCTCCGACAATTCTTTATCCGTGTATCGGCAAAAGTTGGAACCCTCTACGTCGAATTCTTCGTATCGAAACTACACTTGCAAGCTCCAGCTCGATTCAAGGAAAGGATCGGACACTGGAAGACGTTCCTCGACATGCCAGTGTCACAAATTTGTCATGGACACGGCGAGCCGCGATGTTCCTGCTCAAAAGTCAAGGTTACGCTCGAAGGAAAGTGTCTTCGGCCTCAAGGACGCCTTGAACGCGCGTCCACGCGTTCCGCGGCAAGACTTGGCCGAGGAGTATTACAAAATGACCAAGTCGATGGATTCGAAGTCGGCCTTCGACCGATACTTTCGAGAGGATGGCTCGAGCCTCGATTTGTCCCGCGATCGGCACATTTCTCGGATTTGTCCGAGAAGGGATGATGGCGATGACAGTGATGGCGATGATAGGCTCTCGAGAAGGCAGGGTACAGGAAGAAGGACCAAAACCCTGGGGACCACCTTGAGGGAGAAGATAAAGAGGACACCGGAAACCTTGGCGTACCTATGCGTTCGTGTGATCGTCGAAAATGTAATGTGGTGCGAGGAAAATCATCGTTTGCGAATCGTAGAAAGATGCGAAAAAGAGATTGCAATGCACTGGAAAAAAAAAACAGAATTAAGAATTTCGAAATTGTTGTTAAATTGATTTATCGAAGATTATATTTTATTTGGAAGGAATTTAATTTTTTTTTTAATCAAGCTGGATTAGAAGAATTAGAAATTATTTTTGATTATTGAGATTGGTGTCACAGATCCGATTAAGGAAGATTTTATTTTATTTAATTTAGAGAGTTGAGAAAATTTCTAATTTTCAGGCCAGATTATTGAAAATCTTGATCTCAATTAATATAAAATTAAAATAAATTCGAAAATTAAGAATTGAATTATAGAAGATTTTATTATGACTTGATGATAATTTCGTTTCAGCCCCAGATCTTCACCCTCACCAATTTAAGCGGAGTAAAGCCAAGGCAGGATCTTGGGCAAAATGGAGTCGAAGACATGATCCAATTAACGTGAGTTTTATATAATCCGATATCGCGGGTGAAAAATTTCTACCTCAGGCGAGATTAATCGCTGTTCTCAAGCGCAATTAATAATTACAGTGACTTAAACGAAGCGTCTCTATTATGGAACCTGAAAATACGATACGACAAGGAATTAATATACGTGCGTATCTCTACCTATTTTTTTCATACCTTCATTCTTTTCCATCAACACTTTAATATAATCGAATCAACGCTTCTCAGACTTACACAGGAAGCATCCTGGTGGCGGTGAACCCTTACAAAATGTTCGACATTTACGGATTGGACCAAGTGAAACTATACGAAGGACGAATACTTGGCACACTGCCACCGTGAGTTTACAAAAAAAAAAAGAAAAAATCTACTAATTTACATAATATAAATACAATAAAACAAAACGAGCTTAAGAGGAATTATTTAAAAAAATAATTCCTCGATGAATCTTTCTTCGATAATTCTTCTAAAAAAAGAATTCACAAGTTTATGAAATTTGTGAAATGAATTTAATCTATTTATGAAATTAAATAATTTCACATTTAAACAGATTCCTCCTCCTCCTCTTCTTTCATTCAATATTTTTACTACCACTCTGCAATTTGCAGTCATCTGTTTGCCGTGGGCTCGTCGGCGTACAGCCAAGTGACCGCCGCGAATAACGCCAGCGCGAATCAAGTGGTTGTTATTTCCGGTGAATCCGGTTCGGGAAAAACGGAATCCACGAAACTAGTAATGCAATATCTGGCAGCTGTTAACCGCGCGCCGAACAACCTTGTAACCGAGCAAATTCTCGAGGCTACGCCGTTGCTGGAAAGCTTTGGGAACGCGAAAACGCCGAGGAACGACAACAGCAGCAGATTCGGAAAATATTTGGAAGTGTATTTCAGAGAGTGAGTAAGAAACGAGAAATTTAATAAGGAACGATTCCCCATTGTTCTTTTATCTATCTATTTATTTATTTATTTATTTATTTATTTATTTATTCTTTCTCCTCTTTAACGACGACTTTTCTCTCCGAAAAGTGCTCGCTTCATTTACCTGTGTAATCTGTGAAATATTTGTGTACATNAATCATTGTGTTTAAAATGCGTAAAGAGATATTAGTAATAAAACCAAGCTAATTTATTTCTTCGAATGTTTGCATTAGAAAATCAGTTTTGTCATGTAATAATAAGCGTAAAGAGAAATTATCTGCTTTCGTCGTTAACTGATACGTTCTTATTAATTCGCCAATTACTTTTTCAGCGGAGTCATTGTGGGGGGAAGGATAACTCAGTATCTCCTCGAAAAAAGTAGAATAGTCACGCAAGCGCCAGAAGAAAGGAACTATCACGTGTTCTACGAGCTGTTGGCCGGTCTCGATCAACAGTTGAGGGACAAATACGGATTGCTCACGCCCGACAAGTACTTTTACCTGAACCAGGTCTTTTTTTTTTTTTTACAAAATTTTCGAAAAATTTCCTCACCAACGGGGAGGAGGAGGGTGTATACGCACCTGGTATTAAGCCACAAATTCATTCACAGGGTGGAAACTGCGAAATCGATGGAAAGACCGATACCCAAGACTTCAAAGCCCTCCTGTCGGCCATGCAAGTGTTGGGATTCACTTCGGAGGAGCAGGACACGATTTTCAAAATTCTCGCCAGCGTTCTGCATCTTGGAAACGTGTACTTTCACAGGAAGCAGATGAGGCATGGCCAGGAGGGGGTGGAGGTCGGTTCTGATGCGGAGATTCGTTGGGCTGCTCATCTCCTTCAGGTGAACTCCGACGGAATCATCAGAGCGCTCACGACCAAAACGACGGTGAGTGAAGGAAAATAATAAATTGATGTAATTAGATTTTATCATAAATACGATTGATGAATAATTCGATGACGAATAACGTATCACAAAATTTAGAAGGTTTTTTAGAAGATTAGAAGAAAGAAAAGGATCGATTCTTCTTTGTTCGGATGATACAAAATTCCTTGTATTTTTCCAAAACGACAGTGAATGAAGAAAAATAATAAATTGGTGTAATTCGATTCGAAATTTTCAATTTTACCATGAATACTTCGATTCTGAATAATTCGAATAATGTATCACAAAATTTAGAAGGAGAGAGACACATTTTTGCCATTCCTTCTATTTTTCCAAAACGATAATGAGTGAAGAAAAATAATAAATTGATGTAGTTCGATTCGAAATTTTCGATTTTATGATAAATACGATTGATGAATAATTTGAAACACAAAATTTAGAAGGTTTCTTAAAAGAAAGAAAAGGATCAATTTTTCTTTGTTCTGATGATACAAAATTCTTTCTATTTTTCCAAAATAATAAATTGGTATAATTCGATTCGAAATTTTCAATTTTACCATAAATATTTCGATTCTGAATAATCACAAAATTTAGAAGATTTTTTAGGAGAGAGACACATTTTTGCCATTCCTTCTTTTTTTTCCAAGTAACGTTATTATAATATTATGGAGGATTTTATATCATAAATAAATAATCGAATCAACTTGTACCCACAGGAAGCAAGAAACGAAAGAGTTTTCACTGCCTTGAACATCGACCAGGCTTTAGACGCGAGAGACGCGTTCGCCAAGGCTTTGTACAGTTCACTGTTCTCTTGGCTGGTCGCTCGTGTCAATCACATCGTCTACAAAGGAACGAAACAGACGGCCGCCATCTCTATACTCGATATATTCGGGTTCGAGAATTTCACGGAGAACAGCCTCGAGCAATTATGCATCAATTATGCGAACGAGAACCTCCAGTTCTATTTCAACAAGCATATCTTCAAGTTGGAGCAACAAGAATACGCGAAGGAAAAAATCGATTGGACGACGATTAATTATACGGTGAGCGAAAGTTCTTTCCTCGGTTTAATTGGCTCCATTATTATTTTTTTTTTACATAAAATCGATGAATCTTCGTTTGGAAATAGCTGGTTTGAAATTGATATTGGCGATTATGATTAAATATCCATTATTTTCTTCTTTCATTGATTTATAATTTCAGTAATAAGTTTAAATGGCAAGTGAAATTTTAGGAATAATTCTGAAAGAAACAGAATTATTATTATTATCGATTTTAGTTTTTACAAAATGCAATATTCTGTATTTTTAGAGCAAAAAATCGTATCGAAGAAAAAATAATTTTCACAGGAAATGCAGTATAAGTAATTATATACTTGCTCACAAATCAAAATATACACGAGTATCTAAGTTCCTTCTTGAATAAAATGATGGAATTCGACTTTTTCTTAAGACAATACTCTTTCATTATTAATTGTACACGAAATTCATTTTGATGTGCAGGATAATCTACCGGTGATACACCTAATAGCGAAGAAACCAGTGGGTATCCTTCATCTCCTCGACGACGAGAGCAATTTTCCCAAAGCGACGGATCTCTCCTTCTTAGAAAAATGCCATTACAATCACGCGTTGAGCGAGTTATACTCAAGACCAAGAATGAATTCCGCGGAATTCGCGATCAAGCACTATGCAGGCCAAGTTTGGTACAACGTGGAAGGTTTCTTGGACAAGAATAGGGACACGTTGAGACCCGACGTGGTGGAATTATTAATAAGCAGCAAGATATCGGTGAGTCCTTTTCGTCCATTTTCTCGAGCAATTTGAAATTTTATTCGTTCCCATTGAAACGCTTTTTCAATCAAATTTCTTTTCAGATGGTGAGCAAGATGTTCCAACACGTGAGGACGGCCCACGAAGCCAACAAAACCATGAACAAACCGAACGGTAGATTCGTCACCATGAAACCTAGGACGCCAACAGTCTCGGCTCGATTTCACGACAGTTTGCAGCAACTTTTAGATTCCATGTCTCAGTAAGGAAATTGACAACGCAAAAATTGACTTATTTTGCTTACTTTCGAGGAAGAAAGAAATTATTTTAAATTGGATATCGTAACATTAAATTTCTAGAATATTTCCTTCCATTTCTTCGTTCTGTACTTTTTCTCAATTTTTAATCGATCGATTTCAGATGCAATCCATGGTTCGTGCGATGCATCAAGCCGAACACGGAGAAAGCGCCAATGAAGTTCGACATGCCTTGCGTCCTCGAGCAGCTAAGGTACACAGGGATGTTGGAGACGATTCGCATTCGAAAAACTGGTTACCCTGTCCGACTTCTTTTTGGACATTTCGTGGACAGATACAGGTATCTCGTTTCCACGCACCTGCCTAGAGGCGCACCCAACAAGGAACTTTGCCGTATCATTTTGGACAAAGCTGCGCCCAAGGATGCGCAAGCCCAATATCAACTTGGCCTCACCAGAGTATTCCTGAGGGAATCTTTGGAGAGGACTTTGGAATACAATAGAGCTCTGATTTTGGAAAGGGCTGCCATAACTGTTCAAAGGTATTCAGATCTTTTAAAAAGAATTTCTATTCTTCAGGGAGGCAAAAATCGAAATTTCGAAAGAAAAATATCAAATTTTTGTTAAAGTGACGAATTCCAAGATGTAATTTTTATTGGAATTATATGAATATATATTTATTTTTCCAATGAATTTTTCTCATTCAATTAAAATCAGAAATCGAAGCTATATCATTTAATTTATTTTCTTCAACTTTTAATTCGAAAATAATTTTCAATCAAAGATATTCGATGCATCTTAATTACTCCATTATCAGATACACAAGAGGATTCCTGGCTAGAAGAAGATTCCTGAATATTTCACGGAGCACTGTGTTGATTCAAGCTGTTTATCGTGGTTATCGCGAGAGGAAGAAGTTCAAGTCGTTGAAGAAAGGTGTACTCATGGCGCAGAAGATATACAGGGGGAAAAAACAGCGTGAGAAGTTCAAAGTATTGAAAGAGGAAATGGCGAAGAGGGCGGAGATCGAACGAGCGAGCAAAGAAAGAGCCAAGGCGAAGCAACAGAGAGAGGAGCAAGAAAGAACTTCTAGAGCCGTGGCTGGTGTTAATCATTTGGAAATCCCTGCTGAACTTGCCTTCATTTACAGCAAACTCGATGGTGCGTAACAAAATATTAATTTATTAATATTAATCCAATCCAATAATTCTCTTAATCTCATAATTATATTCTTCCACTTCGTTTCATTATATATTTTTTTCCATAATCTAATCCTCAAGTAATTACGTAAATTTTCAATTTCTCAACAATCATAAATTTTCAAATTCTCAACAATATTATCCTGGATGCGAAATCGATTTGATTTTCAAGTTTTTTATACTCTTTTTATTCCAACTTTCGGTTCGATTTTAATATCATAAATTGACACGAAATTTACATTCGAACAGATTGGCAGCCAACGCACACGGAGAGAAATCTATTAAAAGTTGTCGGCCAAGTGATACCTATGCACCACAATTACACGTTGCCGAACGACATCGACCAGCACCAATTCTCCAAATTCACCAACATTTACTTCAAAAGCCACATCTTCGGCATGAAACGGGAGCCCATAAAGACCCCGTTCCTGGCGAAGGCCCGTGATCAAGATTACACGGACTCGCTGATGATCTTCAAGATGATCCTTCGCTTCATGAACGAGAACAACTTGAGCGGGAAAAGGGAGCAAGCGTTGGGCGATTACATAGTGAATAAAGGGATCGTGAATGAAAAGTTGAGGGACGAGATTCTTTGCCAATTGGCAAATCAAACGTGGAAGAACGAGAACGACGCGAACAAGGAGAGGGGTTGGCTGTTGTTATCGAATTGTTTATCAGCTTTTCAACCTAGCTCCACACTGTTCAAGTATCTTTTGAAATACGTGTCCGACCACGCGTACGATGGCTACAAGGCTTATTGCCAGAGGAAACTTTTGCAAGGGGAAAGGACGATATTCAGAATAATGAGCAACAATCAGCAAATCGTTCATCACGTGCCGAGGAATTATCCCCCGTGCGTGTTGGAGTGGAGAGCGAACAGGAATCGAGTTAACATGGCTTTGAGCGTTGGATTTTACGATGGTTATTTTCATTTTTGGATTATGTATATATATGAGACTTAAGAGCTTAAGTTTGACTTCTCTTTTTATCTACTCAAAATTTTATATTCCTTTTCTTTGGAAGAAAAATTTTCTTTCGAATCGAATTCCTTGGATCAGGATTGTTATTTCTTACACTCGATTTATATTCCATATTTTTTCAATCAAGAAATTTTCAAAGTGAAAAGTTGGATACTTGATTTGAAAATTAGATCTATTTTCTCTGCCTTTACATCTTTAACGTTATCCTTGAACGTTATGCACCTTATTTTACCTTATTTTTTTAAAATTCGAGAAATCACTCGTGCCATTAACATTTCCTATTCAATTCAGACGCTTAAGCTTGACTTCTCTTTTCATCTACTAAAAATTTAATATTCCTTTTCTTTGGAAGAAAAATTTTCTTTCGAATCGAATTCCTTGGATCAAGATTGTTATTTCTTATCCGATTTATATTCCATATTTTTTTAATCAAGAAATTTCCAAAGTGAAAAGTTGGATACTTGATTTGAAAAGTAGATCTATTTTCTCTTTACATCTTTAACGTTATTCTTGTTCCATCTTGTTTTCTAAAATTCGAGAGACTACTCGTGCCATTTTCTGTTCAATTCAGATAAATAATTTCGAAACTATATATATATATATATATATTTTTTTACTGTTAATTTTTGTTAATCAGGCGAAACGGTTACTTGCGCGGTGGATTCTTGGACAACCTGCGAAGAATTGGCCAACCTGGCTGTCAACAATCACGGAGTGGACAATTCCGGATGGACAATCACCCTGTGGAATCAATTGGACGGGCCAGACGCGATCGTCACGGAGACGAACGGTTTCGATTACGTGTTAGATTTGATCTCAGAGATGGAACTAGCACCGGCGTTCCCCGCTGCCAAACACATGTTCTTGGAGCAACGGAAGAACAGTTTCCCACCGATCAAAAAGAGAGAGGTGAGTTGAATCGCGTCTCAATCTCCCCCTCCTCCATCGTGTAATAAAATTCCGTCTGGTTTATTTAGCACGCGCATATAATTCGTGAGCTGGAACAAGAAATAGAACCACCGGTTCTGAAAACGTTCCAGCCCCTTGAGCGGAAACCAGTATCCAAGGTTATGGATAAACCCGTCGAACCGGAAATTCAATCGCCGAGGAGACCTGCCGTCCCCCCGCCGCAACCACCTGTGACCAAGCCATCGGTAAATTCGATCAACGAATTTATTCAAAATTAATCTCGAAAAGAATTCCTTCCCTCGACGAAGAAACTGTCCCTTGAAAAAAAGACAGAGCGATTTGAATTTCTAGAATTTTGAAATTTTTGAAATTTGGAAAAAACTCCATGATTTAATAATTCGAATTTTGAAGATTTAGATTTTCATTTTGAAGAATTTCGGATTGTTGATATACACTTTATAAAATGTAATAATAATATTTTCCAGATAAAAAGAATTACCTTCAGTTTTTTAATTATTAATCTTCTATAGTCTTCCATCAATACCAAGGTAAAAATATTGTTTAAATATTTCTTCATTTCACAAGGTAAGGAAACAATCTCACGAAGCGATATTGGAAAGCACAACAGAGACTGGCCTATCCCGAAAATCAGCTTTGAACGACAGATACTTCGAGAAAGAAAAGCAACGTAGTCGCAGCTTGGACAACTTGTTGCAACCAGAAGTGGTTTCACCTCCGGTGAAACTGGCCAATCTTGGATTATCTTCGTCCAAATTAAACGAGCGTTATCACAGTCTGGAAAGGATTGGCGAGACATCGGCCGTCAGTAACGTGGAGTACATGACAAGGAATGAGATAAATCAAGAGAGGAAGTACAGCAGAATAACAAGGACCACAGAGCCAAACATCGAAGAGGAAGATCTGACCATCGACTTTGAGTACCCTGATATCCAATCGGTTAGCCAAACCGGAAGGTCTGAGGATGATAAGAACAGTTACATCAGATCACAGACAAGATTCATCAAATCTCAATATCCTGGTGAGCAATCTCAAATATCTGATTCTTATTCATTCTTTAAAATCCTTCCACAACAAAACATTTAGATTTACTTTCAAACCATTCTAGACTTTTTTCCAAAGTTGAAAAATTCGATAAATTTAACTCAATAATTTACCCTATTTTCGTATCAGAATCTTACTTAAGATTATATTTATCCCCTTCTTATCGTGAATATCCCCAATTCCAAAGATTGCAAGCTCTTCGCGTAACCAAATACACTTTCGTGAAGGCAAACGAGCATTGCCAGGCAGCCAATCGAGTCGTGCCTACATCGAGAAGAGCGAGTACGGCGTGAAATCCTCGGCCATGTCCGACACGAGCGAAGCTCCTTCCCTGGCCTCTCACGTGAGACGGGTCAGGGTGCCTAGTCAAGCTTCAGACGTGGACCAGTTCCTGGACGAATTGTTCATGCCGGTTCTGGACGGAAATTTGGACGAGTTGTCGGACGCGAGGAGCCTGGCGGCTAGCATCAAGGGTACGAAGGATGACAGGTCCCAGAGCGGTGCCATAATCATCGAGAAGAGATTCGACGATTCCGTGGAAGAATTCATCGAAAGTGTGACGAGGGGGGAGAGAAGAGGAGAGGGAATCACAGCTAGTGAATTGTCCAAGAAGATCAAAGGGGGTGGAAACATGGACATACCTAATCAGAACGCGACGTTCAACTTTGGTGCCATCACGCCGGGGATGATGTCGCCCCCCATGATGATGCCAATGTTCAGCACGCCGCAACAAGTGCCGGCTGCTCAAAGCACGAGCATGAACATGGGGCCTGGCTTCATGCCCATACCGATCTACAGTATGCAAGGGCTGAGTCTTCCTCAGTACCCCAATTCACCCCCTAACCAGAGCAACGACATGATGGCTTACCAGCAGAACTTGCAACGAGCCTTCCTGCAGAGTGCCATGGCCCAGAATATACAGATTCAACAGCAACTGCTTGCCCAGAATCAGGCTCTTCAACAACTGCTCGTGCAGAGCCCCCAAAACTCGTCGCAACAACCGGTGAGAAATTATTCGACGCTTGATTAATAAAGTGACAATGACGTCGAGAATTTCCGATTATTTTCTGGGACAATTGAATTTTATATAATCCTATTTCAATATAATTATTGAAATTGAATAAATATATAGATATATTGGAAATTTAATGCTAAATGTATGGCAATTTTTCTAGGTTAGGTGATAAATGAATCAGGCTATTGTTTCCGTATCGAAAAACGAAACAAATATACGAACTATTGAAAAAGTTCTAGAAATAAGTGTTAAATGAAACTATAGAGAATACATAAAATATCTAAAATTGAAATATAATTCTATTTCAAGTTTCATAAAAATTCTAAATTAAAAAAATTAATTTCAATCAAGTTTGATTTATATAACTAGCCAATTAGTCCGAGACTTTGTTAAACAAGGATATTCTCTAATAAAAATTAATTTTATTACATTTCTCATTTCACGAAATGATAATTCAATCTTGTCCCAGAAAATTAATCGTAAAAAATTAAAAGGAAGATAAAACACACGAGATCACCATACGTGTACAAAACAAGACCCATTACTCGATACTCGATCAAATTCCTTACACGTATACACGCGTAATTAATTTTACCTGGTCGCACAATAATACGGACATGTCGTAACATTTAAATAAACCGAGAATTGCATGTTAAATGTCATCTCACATACGGATACGCCGTCATTTTTCGTGCGTCACTTTCACGATCACATTATAACTAAATGACTAACACGATCGGTGCAACACTGTACGAAATACGTATGTGTGACAGTGTTGGCGATCATCCAAAAAAATAGCAAAAAAAAAAAATATATATTTATATATATTCACGTCCATTTTGGACGATCCTGTGGGCTTCTTAGCCGCATCGCGGCGTGGGTGTGTGTTTCCAGGGCACGGCGTTGTCCGCAGGCCCCTCCAGTATGAATCTTGTCCCCCCAGCCCCCCAAAACGGTGCCCAAATGGGGCCCAATGATTCCATTGGACGCTACTCCAAGGTATCTAATGATATTCATCTAACGAATAAAATCTGTCGATCGATAACTTGGATGATAATTAATACGATTTTATTTGATATCAGGTGTGGAAAGAAAATTTGTGGAAATTTTTTTTTTGTTTATTGTAAAGATTTGTTCTATTATTAGTTCAAATTTTATGATTATATCATAAAGACGAAGAGTTTTTGATATTATAATCGTGAAACGTTTAATTAATAATAGAGAAAATTATTATCGAAAGAAATAAAAAGAAAAACGTTCCACAAACTTTTCCACCCATATTTAACGTCGAAATTAAAGAATCGTTAAATTTCGATTGAAAAATTGTCTAGAATTTTTTTGAAGGGAAATTTAAAACGATCGATCGATTATTTCTTTCTCTCGTTACAACAGCTTTCAAAGATCGACAATATTTCAATCGAAAATTTTCATTTCAATCCGATTTATTTAATTTCGGCGTTGAAATGTATCTCTGAACACGTTGTAACACGCTACGCTGAATAAAATATTAACCGGTTATGGGAAAGATTCGCAAATATCAGAGTTGTACAGTGGTGTGGAGGAATGCAGGTGTTCGAGAGGCACTCGTCGATCGAATACTTTAAACGAGTCTGATAATTCTTTAACTTTAACGACGAATTTATATAAAGATTAATCTGTAATTAATGCGTTTATATTAAAAGCTCGTGTTGATCCAAAATAACTGAATGAAATCATTTTCGAAATTCATTCACTTGCATTCACTTTTCTCCTAAAACATTTAAAAAAATCCTAACGAGTCTACAATTGTTTCACAGCACTGTACATACAAGAGCACGAAACAATATTCATTTCGAGCATGTTTGTAAATCGTCATACTTTGTAAAATATAAACTTTATAAACAATAATTGAAAAAAAAATATTTAGAAATTTTTGCAAATTAGTAGATGAAGTTAAATAATCCAAAAGGAATAAACTTAGAGAAGAATAAAACGTAAAATTTGGAAATTAGGTTTCCTTCAGGGAACCGGAGGACGGTGAACTTTGGTCGACCGAGAAGCAGGGTGCGCCCGCGTCTTCGACCAATAATCAGCGACAGGAGATGACGGTGAAGGCTCAGATTCATCGGTCTCAAAGCCCGCCTCGAAAGAATTCCGAAATCGTTAGGAAGACCAGCGTGGAATACGCGGTGAGGAAGGTCAGCGTCGAGAGAAAAGTGGCCGACTCGAAGAAATCATCGAGCTCGGCGGACGCAAAAAGGCCTTGCCCTTCGAGCAAGAGCAACGTGCAAAGTAACTTCACCAACGTGTTGAGCGAATTGAAGAATCGTAAGAGCAGTTTGGACAGCAATCTGTCGAATTCGAGCAACAACAAGGGTGTGCCACCCCCGCCACCCATGCCACCACCTTTGGAGTCTCACGACCCGTCCGAATCGAGGCCTTTCCTCGATCCTTACGGCAGAGCAAAGACAGTTCGAATTGGCAAATGGAGGTGAATAAATAATCGAAAGAAAAATCGAAAAAAAAAATTAACATCTCACAATATTTCTCGTTATTTATCTCAGATGGCCTCCGCCTAGCGACTCGAACGAGAATCAAAGCCAGGACAGTTTCATAGAGTTCAAAATGCGGCAACAGCAGCAGCAACGAAAAATTACACCCCAATATCAAGAATACAATCAGGGCGAGGGGGAGCCGAGCACAGAGGGTGGCGTCGAGTGGGAGGAATTCGAAATTGAGAATATCGTCGAGACGAACGAGAAGCAGGCAGCGGTTGGCCATGCTCCACCTCCGGTCGCCAAACACGAAAATGGATACAAAGAGGAGGGGGAGAAGAAAAAGAAAAAGTCCAAGTACGATTGTTGAAATTCTTCCCGTTGAGAATCAATTCGAAGGTATTGCATTTAAAACTCTGTATACCTTTTCCAGATCCGCGTTGGAGGTAGGTGCACAGAGGCCATCCCCGGGAAGCATAGGAAAACTGAAGCTTAGCTCGGAGATGAGGCAGAGATTGGAAAAAGTGACGGCGAATCACAGCGTGAGATCAACGAAGACAACCGAGAAACCTGCTCTTCCTCGCGAGGACGGTAAAGTGAAACGTTTGGAGGACAATAGAAAGCTTCTTCTCGAACAGCAATTAGGTAATTCTTCTTACTAAGTGGTTATAGATTCGTGTGTGTCGATTGGGAAATGAATGGTTCGATGATAAACCGTTTGACATTTTCGAAAGGGGGAAGATGGGACGATTACGCGTCAACGGCCGATGACACGCAAAGCGTGACTTCAAAAGGCACGACCGACATGATGACTCAGGCGCAAGTAGTCAGGACTCAGATCGAGAGAATGGAGAGGCCTGTGCCACCTCCGCTTCCGGTCACACCTCCGCAACCCCCCAGTCCTCGTGGTGGAAGCATGTACAGCAATAGGTATTCTTCTATACTTAAATTATTCCCTAATTTTTCTTTTTCTAATTTTCAACTTATTATTTTTAACATACTTTTCAAATATATACGACACGTTTCTGTTCAATTTTCATTAAACGATATATTATCAAAAAAAGGAAAGGAAAAAAGATTAATTCAATTTTATCTAATACTCAATTCGAATATTTCTCACGCTCAGTCAATCCGGAGTACCGCAACCCAGGTCGCCTCCAGCCCCGGTCGAGCCAAAGGCTCGAGATTCATTCCGAACATCCCCGGATTCGGAGGCGTTCGACCATTTTTCCAAGACCCAGCGCGACATGTTCAGCCAGAGCAGAGACATATTCGCGTCCCAGCAGCATCTGAGGGAGAGCCACGAGTACAGAAACGACTTCGACAAGTCACGATTGTCCGATCCAAAGTCGAAAGACTTCTATGGGAAGGACAGCACGGACATGGCAAGTTCCGCAAGGGACAGAAGTTCCGACTTCGACTCCCGCCGCGACCTGAATTCGGACATCTTCGACCCGAAATACGCGAGAAACATATTCGAGAACACGAAGAGAGATCCCTTTGGAATGGCCAGGGACGTGTCGCCAAAGTCGAGGGACAGCTTCGGCATGCCCTCGTCCAGAGACTTTGGCCTGATGCCGAACACGAGGGAATCGTTCGCAGCCGCTCGTCAAAGTTTCAAGAAATTGGATCGTGATCTAGACAGGAGATCGAGCGTCGCGTCCACCCATCGTACCGACAAAATGGAGAGGATCGAGATCGAGGAATGGCCCGAGTTCCTCAGGCCAGTGCTGCCACCTGCCGAGAAGCCGGAAATAGAGAAGGTCCAAGAGGTGGTGAACACGAAGCTCTATCCCCAAACGTCCACGGCTCATTTCACGTACAACAGGGTCACGTGGACGTTGAGGGTGAAGAAGGAAGTGTTCGCCCCCAACGAGACGTTGAACAGCCCCCTGGCCCTTCATCTCGTGTTTTGCCAAGTCGCTTACGACGTGCTTGCCACGTCCAGTATCCGGATCACGAAGGAGGACAGGCAGAATATGCTCAAGATGTTGGACAATTATGGCGTCACTCTGGACAATCTGCAGAGTACCCAGCACAAGATCACGATTAAGAAGAACGTGGTTGACATGGCCAAACAATGGCCTCTGTATTTCGCCAGGATATTCCCAGTGTCGGTGAGCGAATTAGAATTTTTCGATAAAAAAGTGAATCGAAACTCGATACACCAACTCCTTTCGTTCTACCTAGTCAATTGTGACTACGTGCATAATTACCATATATGGTGTTTATACATGGCTAATCATACGTGGCATTCCCGAAAGGAAAGTCGCGAGAAGAAAATGGTTAAATTAGAATCGCTCCATTGTTGCAATTATTATTAATAATCAGTCTGTCTTCGAGGCATCAAGGAGCGAAAAGAATCGTTGAAAGCTACGTATAATAACTATTAGATTATTTTATCTCGCGTCTTTTATTTTTCACGCCATTTCTTTTACCTCTAAAATATATCATATTCTGATTGAATATGATACACTCGATAATTTTATATTTAATTTGAATTATTTTCATTATTCAGATCGGCCCTCAGCATCCAGAAACCCAACACGTGGCGATCTCTCATCACGGTCTCAGACTCATCAAACGTACACCGAACGGCGATTTGGTCATTTTGGAAACTTTGCCTTTGGAGGAAATCGTCTCGGTCAGTTCTCCACGGATCGGTGTCTGTGTAATGCAAATTGCGTCAGGAGTCAGGCTACCCCTGCACACGAACAGAGCTCCACAATTGACCGAGATGATAAGCAGTTACATCAGAATGGTGAGTGATAACAATTGTTTAATCTCATCATTCATCAGTTGACAAATTGAGAAATTTGTGACGCGTAATTATTATTTATCGTTCGACTTGATTCAATTTTTCCAAAGAAACGGAATACATAATTTGGAATAGGCGAAAAAAAGAATTTAATTTATTTCAGTGATACAGTGACATTGGCCGATTTCTGTTCGTCGTTTATCTCGAGCCAATCTTTTCCAGAAAGTTTAGAAAATGCAACTCGCGTCGATCCGCATTTAAAAATCACGGTTTTCTATGTTTTGAGAATAATTTTGCGTGCGATAATTTAGAAACGCAGTTTGTATGATCGTTTTACGAGCACTGGGCATAATTTATTATACTAAATATTTGTGCAAGATATATATTTTTATCAGACTGCTAACATGAATTCGAACAGATTAATTCTATTTCTATATCTAAAAAAAATAATATAAAATATAATATTTCTATATTTTATATTATTATAAAATATATAGGTATTTCGTAATCACGAATGTAATTCATTCTGTAATTACGAATTATATATTGCAAAAAGTCAGAAGAATATTCAGAAATCTAAAAATAATTAAATTTTCTTCGACTATTCTATGAATCCAATTATTATTTTTTTTTTTTTTTTGATCTTCTAATTATAATTTAGATTTATAGTAAAAAGAATTACTTATGAACGAGCCTAACACTAATCGAATTTATCAGAATTACTTAACGAATTATAAATTAACAAATTCACGACGCAATATCTCGTTTATCGATCGAACGATCAAATGATTGTAGGAATTCAGTTTCGATAACTTGAATTCAAGAAACTTGACGCCATTCTACTACTTACTCAATTGAAATTATTTTTTAATACTTATTTGGATTCTAAATTTGAATCGAAATTAACTATTCGGATCTCAACATAAATTACAACAGAAGAGAAGATACGTTTGAGGGAAGAAATGAAAGTTAATTTCGAAACTATTTTAAATAAGTGGATATTGAAAATGATTATAAATATATAGCAACTTAATAACCCTCTCGAGGGTTATTAACTAATCTAAAATTAAGTTTTCTACATCATCCAATCTATATTAATTATTCCATAAGATACAGAAAAAAATTGTATCCCTTTCATCATCTATTTTCATCCCACACCGTTAAATTTCAAACTCAGAAATAAAATTCAAAAGAATCGTCGAAAGAAAAAAAAAATGAACAAACATAGAATTTCTACGAGGAAGAAAATCTCACCTCGAAATTTTAAAACTCTCGAAATTGGTCGGAGGAATGAGCCAATAGAACGATAAAAGATCCACGAAGATCGTGTCCGTAACTTGCGCAATTAATCGTGGAGCAGCACACATGCACCGATGAGGTAACGCGATCGCACGTGTGGAAATCGGTACGCGGCTGTAATAAGCGGCCCAAGAGGGATAACTCGAGGAGAAGCCGTGCCTCGGGCCTGTCGAGCCAACGCGAACGACAGACATCGCATTCCATCGCGATAATGCGTGGGTAGCGGAAAGCAAGGCCCACGATTTACCCGCGAGAAAAGACGATTCGGGGTAACGACGTGTCCCTCGCACGCAAAAAAAGAAAGAAGAGGGAATCATAACCCCAAGATCGGTCTAACGTACGCTTGATGGCTTCGTGGTTTTAACCTACCGCAATCTTTTTAATCTAATTTCGAAAAAATGATGATCTCTCTCATTTGGGTTGTTCGAAGATTTTGTGCAAAATTTGATTGAGGAAAAATCTATAGAATGCATGAAGAGATACACAATACAAGTAGTATGGATTATGATGGTGAACGTGAATTAAGGAAATTGTAATTTTATTGAATTTGTTTTTTGAAATGATTTTTGCCAGGAAATGATTCTATATAAATATTCTAATAGAAAAAAAAAAAAGATTGTGACTGTTGGATTGTAATATATAATTAAACTGGATAATTAGATATTTGTTCGTTTGAAATGATAAATAAAAGCTGCATTTGTAACGAGTAATAATATAAAATTTTTAGATAAAAAGTAAACACGTGGAAAATAATTTAAATTGCTAGTAAGTATAATTAAAGTTTATACTTTAGACTTGGAGGTTTTCAGATTGCAGAGATCTACTCAACTACATAGTGTTTATATATAAGTTAAGAAGCGCATAAAGTTGGTCAATCATCATTTATTCCACCAACTGGATACGTTCCACGCGTTCTCTTATTTTCTTATCTGTTCTGTCATTTGCGTTCGCTGATGAGCTTCACTAGTTTTTTGATTTTTGCCTTCATCTGTGGGATAACGATTTTACGAAACGATCGTTTATTCTCGTTGGAATATCAGCATGATGAAGAGCGATTAGAAATCTTGGTATATTTAAAGGCAACATTTAAGAGACTTAACTTAGAATTGTTTAATATTGTTAAAATAATTAGAAAGAAAAGAAAAATTAAAAGATACTGTCTCTGATTGAAACCATTTATTACGATTCTGATAATCTCTTCTAGTTTGAAATTTAAATAGATCGATCCAGTCTAATCGCTCATCGAGAACGTACAAGCATCGATTACTTGAAACATAAGTTCTAGAAGAAAGGAATATCAATCAAAGATTCCTTTTTAATCGAGCCTCCATGAAAATTTTCGACCAATTTTTCTACCACCACGATAAATCTAATAGTGAGAGTAAATCGAGAAATACGTGGTTACGTGTCTTTAATTCCACCTCAAACCGCCATTTATGTATTAATACTGAAAATGGACGACCAAACCTGACGCGGATGGAAAAGGAAATAGAGCATTCCTCGGATTCACATACACGTGTTTCAAAAGAAACAGTGGAATGGCAAACTCGAGTGGTCTTAATAGAAGAATGAATCTACCTTCACGAATTGCAAAATGAAATGAAATCAAAAGAGGAGGATATAAAAGGATTATTCGTTTGTAAAATGAATTACAAAATGAATTAATCCTATTCGTTTTCTAATGTTAATCAATCAACATATCCTAATTGATAATTTTTCTACGCGTGTATCTTTGAACTCAGAGTTTATGTATTACATTTGAATCATTAATCATAGTTCAGATTTCAAACGCAAGATATTTTTTTATTTAGAATTTTTTAGAATTTAATTTATCTGTTGGTTTTCTTTTTTTAATTATTCCAATCAGTTATAATTTAATCTAAGATTTAATTTAATTCTCTTAATGTAATAAGAGAAAGAAACGACCTTGTACGTTTCATGATTCATATGTTTTATGAATTTTACTTTAGTAAAAAATGATTGATGATTCAAATACTGCGTAATATTAAATTCTAGGTTTAAATATTACGTAGTAATACTGTTTATAAGAAAAAATTATCAATGTTATAAGGAAATAATTCACGATAAGAACATTGATAATTTCGAAATATACATAACAATATAGTGTAATAATCTTGTCAGGATTGATTATCATAAAAAAAAAAACTATTATATCTATCAAATCTGCGAGAAAACAAATTTTTCTATGCTTTGTTTAAACATCTTCATATTTCCTTCGTACTTTCTACAATTTATAATTTATTCTGATAATATAACAACACGTTTCCAACACGTTCAGAAGAAGGAAGTGTTTGATTTCTTTATTCCTTTTTAAAAAAAAAAGATAAAGAACTGGCATTAACATTGCGATATTCGTATGACATTTCAACCTCTACATTGAATTTTATTACGTTCACCGAGAACGTGGGACCAGTCAATCGATCAGTCCCATTGCTTTGCCTCGACGTTCAGTGGCGTAACAAGGCTTCGATAACTGGTGCACCAAAACAAAAGATAACCGTATTATTCTCTTTTAATCTTTAGATCCTAAAACAGGATAATTTAATCATTTTCGATTATCATTGTTATCCTTAGAATTTAGAAATTATATATATAATAAATATATGAAAGAAACTAAATTTCAAAGAAAATACAGAGAAATTTCAGAAATGAATTCTTCTTCGTTCTTTATTGACTCGTTGATTTGCTTTGGAATTTCAAGTATTCAGATAAAAAATTACGATAAAAAACGATAAAAGTATAATTGCTCAAAAAATTAATTAAAGGAGAATAAAAAACGTGGATATCTTTATCTTCAATTTACACTTTCTATTTTCACATGATACAGATCATCTTCCAATCCTCGCTTCATCTCCATAAGAAAAAGTTACTTTTCCTCCGCAAAATTTCAACGAGTTCAAAAGAAATTCGCAAAAAAAAAAAAAGCAATTACCAGAATAAGATTAAAAACTTTCTTCCAATAATTCTCATTCTCGTTCCTCATCCAAATTCACCAAATACCTTCTAAGAAAAGAATTACACCAAAAACAATTGTAAAACTTCCTCTCTCGCCGTTTCTATATCGATCTATATTTAGATCGAGACTCGTCCTTCACCAAAGACGATCGAAAACCGTCTGCACAGATGATAGGTGGCCGATACCTTCTCCATCGTGCAAGAAAGGAGGCATTGGCCAGCATATATGACCACTCAGTGGAAACGCAATTTACACTAGGCGTTGGCCGAGGTTGCCTCGTTACATTACGCGGTATCCGTGCCGTTAGAATTTCCAACCCGATCGTCGTTGCTAATTGACGTTGGCCGATTGCCTTTCCACGCTTGCGCGCGACTATTTCAAGAGCAAAGAAATAAGTGGATTCAGCCATTCAGTTCCGTTTTCCGTTCATCCGTGAAAAATGGGCGTACACGCGCCACAGAATTCTTCGCTTGATATATATATCTCTATATTCAACTGGGATCTGTTTTATGTAGTTTCAAAGAAGATTTTCAAAGAAGAGCGGATTCAAGATTACAGGCTGTTGCCTTTTTGGAGAACGAGATGTGGAAATGAATTATGAACTCGTAAATGAATGAATTTATTAGATCTAGTTTAGTTTACTGGTAATTGATGAATGAATTTTGAATGGATTTCCCTCGATGATAATAATTAAACGCGACGATATTAGATGTATAAAATAAAATTT